CTATGATGGGATCTTTAACTTAGTGTTTAGGACTAGTTGTGATGGTAATATTTAGCAATTTAGACCATACACATGAAAAATGTTTGATCTGAATGGGTTATCCATATAACTTTCTAATGGATGATCCTATCTGCTAATGTTGTATTCCTGACAAAATATTACACATCTTTGCTTTCTTAGGTAAACATTTACAGGATTATGCTGTTAGGCAAACATCAAATTTACCTTCGTAACTGAATGCAGACAGCAAGCAAGTTTTCAAGAGTCAAGTTTAAGAAAAAGAATCTGGCTTTTGAGGAAAAGACTCTTTTGGCTATAATGCTTTACCCTTGAGAATGGTACCAGGCAACAGCAGTATCTGAAGATGATTTATTATCTTAGTTATGCTTTGGACCACATTGCTTTAGAAAGTTAATTGTTTGGGCTTGCATATGTTATTAACTCTCTTGCAGATTGCTTGAATTCTTCAGTCAGTTTTATGACTTTTGATATTTATAACACATAGGTTAGGTAAGTGCCTCAGATAGTTTAGAATGGAATTCTTACCACTTGTGCCATTGAAAATACCACACAAACAGCTTAGTTTAAGAGTTGATGTTGTTTGCTATGCTTTGATTTGGAAATGGTGGGCATTTCATCCTTACCACTTGTTTAGGCAGGTTATTGACATAGAGTAACTTATAATTTGATTTGGAATGGAATGGCACCTCCTCTCATTTTAAAAGTAGGACAAATTGATTCTGTCTTTGTGTAATTTCTTATATACATCCTAATGTAGAGGTCAACAATTTGTGACTCTGAAGATATTTTTGGATTACAATTCCCATCAGCCCCAGCCAGCATGACCACAGGTTCCCCACTCCTACTATTTTATAGTAACACAGCATTTTGACTTAAATGGCACAAAATAAAATACCATGAGCATTGATTGCTTAAACCCCACTGAAGTGATTGTGATGCACACAACTGTGCTCTTATACAAAACCACCATTCATTTTTCTATCAACAAAGTTCTTGTTGTGTTCCTTTAAAAATAGTGTGAACAATTGCCTATATCAATGTTCAAGTTTCTGAATGTCAATAGGTGCTGAGAACATGAACTGCCTTTGAATTCACTGGAAATCTTGTATGTGCTTACCAAGTATTAAATGTTAAAGTGAAATGTATAATTAGGTATGATAGCGGCCGCCTTGGAGTACGTATCTAAATTTGAAAATGTTGCCCCATGGGAAATTTTCTTTATTTGAAAAGGTATTTTCTTTAATTATGTTCTCAAGTAAATTTTGATTATGTAGCCAGAATAAGGAATAATAGCTTTCTTTAGAGGCAATACTGCTGTTTATAACGGCTCCTCTCCTACTACTAAACCTCTAGGGAAATTTTGCAAATGCAATTATATGAGATCCTAAAAATCTGAGAGTTTTTCATGAAAATTCCATTTGCTGTCCTGCCTTGCTAAATTGGAGGAAGGAAGAAAAAGAGGTTTAATCTTGCAGATGCTGGACCTGCATTCATGCTATTCTGCTGCCTAATCAAGCGAACCAATCCACAAGACTGTCAGTGAGGATAGAAAATGGCAGCTTCTAGTTTGACAGCACATTGGTATTGTCATGAATGAGAATCTCTGAACACTTAATTAACTGGCCATAATGATAAACAGATGTCAGAGGAGCAAACCTCCTGCAATAATAATTGTCTAATCGCAGCAGAGTTTGACTGATCGGAAAATTCTATACTTGTCTCCTAGCATTTGTTTTTAGATAAAGGGTTCATGCTTTTCTGGTATAAGCCTATGTAAAAAGGTATGATGTTTGGAGTAGTTCTATAATTTCATCAAGCACTCTTGAGAGATCTGGGAATATGAACAGGATGCCAACCCCTGTACTTCATGTATTGATTGCACTGCAGTTCATTTTCTGCCCAATATGACTATATTTGTCTCGCTGTCCGCTGTAGTGAAATTACATATTTTACGTAATTAATTATGTAAATTGTGTAATTACATTGCCATTATGCTATTCTATCCCATTCATCTCAGTGCAAAGGAAACCCAACGCAAATGGGAATCAACATAATCAATTATGTAACATTCGTAGATTGAAAGGAACAACAGTTGATTGATTTCATTCTGGACAAGGGATGAACAAATGAACACTGGTAATTTCCACTCTGTTTCAGTTTTTGTTGGAATTCTCTGACATCCTTATTGCAAAGTAAGTCCTCTTGAGTTCAATGGGGTTTGCTGGCAGTTAAGTGAGTACACTGTACAGATAATTGCAGCTTTAATAACCAAAAGATGAATCCTACTAAAACTTTATAGTTTCAGGAATGTTTTGTGAATCTTTTTGTGTTGGCAACCATGCAGCATACTTATAGGCAATTTAAGTATAAGGTTTCTCTAGACATTTACCACTACTTTATGTTGAAATCAACAGTGGCACATGCCATGGATTTTGACCATGGCCAGTTCTTACTACTTTATTTGAGTGTCTACATGTAGAAATCAAACAACAGGCTTTCAGACAAAACAGACTTGGATCCATTTCATTTGGTATTGTTTTTAGAAGAAAATACATCTCATACTTGGAATTTTATTGAGTTCAGTACATTAGTTAAAGTAACTGGAACTTAGAGTTTATAGAGGGATCGTCATAAGAGTGCATACAACCCAAACAGCTCTTTTTCTAAGTACTGAAAGCACTTCACATTTATTGGCTCTAATGGCAAATCATATATGGGATAATGGGAAACCTTTGACATCTTATAAAATGTACTTGTTGAAATTTATGTCCAGCCTATATGCAATCCATTCTATGCAGCCTAGATTTCTGTAATTAAAACTGTGAAAAAGAAATAGGCAGTTTGACTTGGTTCTGAAGAAACATTTGGATGAGACAAAAGGTATTGGATCACTGCTTCCTCAGGTATTGGATCGTTTCCTCATGTAGATTTGTTTTCTGTAGGAGCAACTATTGGGCGGAATGACCTTTACCAGCTGAAGTTGATGATGTAGTGGAAGGGACATTTTCCCACTTGACCTTTACACAATGTGTCATCTTGTCCTGTAGCGCAAAAACATGATGCAATTGACAGATTTGATGGAATGCTAACCTGACAGAAGCGTATTGTTTGGAAGGATATGTGTGTTGAAATGTGAACCCTGTAGCTATAGCATGGCAAGCTTTCCATGTACCAGTCATTCCTAGGGGACTGATGGCACAGAAATGGCTGCTAGATGTTATCACTGTTGGACATCTTATTCCATTTAGTATGTTATCACTGCCTCTCTCTGTGTGTGTCTTTCTCTTTTTAAATTGGACCTCAGTAATTGTTTCCCAGAATATGTTTGACAGTGTCTTATTCTATTCAGAGTATTAATGGGGAGAAGGGGGTGCTGCTTGGAGCAAATTACTTTGATTTTGTGGCAAATTCACAGGCTCCCAGTAGGTTTCTAAGTTCAGTTCAAAATGCTAAATGGTCTAGACTGGAATGGACCAGAGGGGGGGAAGGGGAGTCATGCTGCAGAGAAGCAGCTTCCACGCCACTTCTCTGGACTAAGCTGAAATACAGGAGATAGGTGAACTTTAAAATCAACAAAAAATAAAGTATAGCTGCTATGGCAGTGGGTGGGAAAGGTACCCATAACCCTGTCTGTGGACTGTTTTTCTATTTATTGACAAAAGATACTGGACAAAGGGTAGGGATGGGGCATTGATTGGGAAAATGACCTTTGGGCAAAGGGTTATTGATACCTTTCCCCACCATTGATGCAGTCATTTGCAGGTGCTGAAAGCTGCATTGTAGTTTATAACCAAACTTAGAATCGGAGAATCCATGACAGATCCAACTTCCGCTTAAAAATCCCCAAGGAGGGATAGTCCCAAGGAGTCTGTTCCACAGTTGAACAGCTCCTACTGTCAGAAAGTTCTTCCTGATGTATTCCAGGGAGAATGCTTGGGAGAATGCTCACACTTCTCTCACATCTAATTAGGTGGTCACTTCTGTGATGGCCTTCTCAAAATTGGGGACCCTTCCAGTTTTTGAAAATCTTCACAAAACCTGCCCCCATTTGCTTCAGTTTAGCCGTCATTTAGATGTATTTTCATTTCCCTCAAAGCACCTAGCTGAATTTTCTACTTAAGAGTGAAATAATAGTTCTGATAATGAAAACTGAGTGATGGTGGTTGGAAATGGTGGAAGTATTGGAGGATCTTTTGTTTCTCAAAGAATAAAAAAAATGTTTTACGTTTGTTTGAAATGAGTACATTTAAATATACTCTGTGGAATTTAAAAGCCTCTATAAAGAAACAAAAGGATGCTAACTTTTTAAAGTGTCAATTACTAACAGAAGATAGGCAGCTTCTTTATAAAATAAGATGTTAATATTGTTTTCAAGTATGCCTTTTATCCAAGTTCTCAAAGTTTCATCAATGTTATTTCAACCCAAGACATAAGTTCTTAAGAAATAAGTTTTCGAATAGGGAATATAGAGTTGACTTACCCAAAATGAGATGGCACATAAAGATGGGGTCAAATAGTAGTTGTGTGTGGACCCTGATCCATTTTGGGACACTAACAGAGGCAAAGGGTTAAATCCCCACAGTCCTTTTGCTTTAGTCCTGATTCAAATTGCCTCCCCCTCCACCTGCTTTTTGGTGGAGGAAAAAAACAAGCGTATGATTAATGTCACGTCTAATTTTGCTGTAAGCATTTGATGTCAGTACTGCAAGTTTCATAATGTGTGTTACCATTTTCAACAGTGTATGCAATAATGTCAAGGGTTGGTTCTTTACATATATATAGGTTAAGTAGCTTGGCAACCAGTGTGACTCTTTGGCTGCATTTTTAATAATGTCGCTATCATTTAAAATATTTCACATAACCAAAGCTTTCTGTCTATGACATGTCCCTTTTGTTTATCACTATACCAGACTTTCTTTCGAACAAAATATAGCCCGGAATCATTTAATTATAATGTGTTTTCCTCCTTGTTTTCCCAGCTGATAAATTTAGAAGAAAACTTGAAGAGCTGGAGAAAGAGAAAAGTGCACTAAAATTTCAGCTTCCTTCACAACATCCTTCAATTAGCAGCTTTTTGGAGAGATTTAAAGCACAGGTTCAAGTGGCATTGTATGGGGAAGTTCCCAAGTAAGTTTGCTGGCCCTAGTGGTATAGGATGTTTTAAGCTTCCTTAAAAACTGTGCTGAATTTGTGAACATAGGGTGAAACCCAGCACTCAATTGAAATCAATGGGCCTTTGTCATTTATTTATTTATTTATTTATTGAGTGAGTGAGTCAGCGAGTGCATTTATATACCTCCCTTTCTGCCAAGGCACCCATGGCCGACTTAAAAGCACATGCCACTATTTGCTGACTTGCACACTTCTTACCAAAAGAAGTCCAGAGAGCTCATGCAGTGTTAGGATGCTGAGCTGTGAACCAGGAAGCCCTTCATTTGAATCTTGTCTCTGCCATGAACTAACTGGGTGGCCTTAAGATAACTAACTCTCAGACTTGGCTCCTCCATCTGCACATTTTGGGATAGTGATACTGCACTGACCTATTGTTGGTTGATCATATATGTATCTAATGATGATGACTGTTTGGGGGCACAGTCTAACAAGAAGTATTTCTCTGCAAACCTCACTAAGGGCCACGTACAGGTCTGATATATTTAAGAGTGACTTGCACAGGAGAACATCTAAATGGATTGTAGATCAGCCTTCCCCAAACTCCTCCCCTTCAGATGTTGGCTGGGGCAGACAGGAAGTGTAGCCCATAACATCTGGAGGGTACCAGATTGGGGAAGGGTGTTGCAGATTATTACTCACCATAGCAGAGGTCCTGACATTTTCTTTTCTTTGCTGAGCCTCTCCCTCAATCTCCCACTTCATGGAAATAAAACCTCAGACTTGTCTAGATTATTCTTTCCTTGTTCAAGTCTCTTATAATCAGTTCTTTATGACTGTTACTGTCTTTCCACAAGCATTTGTCAAGGTTCATATTTTCAGTGGGAAAGGCGAGTGGTATTGTCCACACTCTTAATTGATTTCCCATGTTGTTCTCTCATGCCCTCTTAGCAGGTCAGGTGTTTCCGAAGTAATCAAATCCCATGTGACTTTCATAAGTGACTTCAGAAGGCATTTGACTGAACTTTGAAACTGTAACTGGGGAATGAATGATTGTTGTGTTATAAGAGAAACTAAAGAACACATAGTTGCAAAGGATATATCACATGAATTAAAGGATTTATGTGTTCAGCCTTGCACAGGCCAGCAGAATCTTCTATTTTTATACGCTAATAAGGGAAAAGAAGCCCTTCCACCAATAAAAATCCTGCTTCCAAGCCGACCCAAGGGAATGTGCTTGGACCCTTTTTAAACTGGGAACTGTGCAGCATAGTTTCTGTAAGGTAGAATCCAGCAACATGCTCACCTTAAATATCTAATTTCCTATTGGATGATTTTCCTAACAAGAGTAGGAAAATGTTATTTTGAGGTGTGCTATCTTCAAGTAGGACCAGTCATCTAAAAGTGCAATCCTATGCATATCTGCTTGGAAGTCAGTCTTTGGTAAATGTGCCTAAGAGTGCAGCCTAATTTATCATTTCAGAAGGTGTTTTTATTTTACTTTCTAAAATTCAAAGCAAATGAGAGCTTTGGGAAAATCTGGGCACTTCTTGGATGGTAGTGAAAGAATGATTCATGATTGTTTTACATTAAGCACACACATATTAAAAGGCTTGGCACTATTTTTAAAAAGCTGCATACCAGTGATTGTGGGACTTTCCATATATACACCACCTGCTGGTGAGGAAAATGTTTTTACTCCCTTACAGTAGTATTGGAAACGAGATGGAGTTTTAAATAAAATTATGACAATAATATTTAATTGCAATTTACTGAATTCTGGAAAGGTGCGTTTCAGCACAAAAAAGGATGTGATTCATCTATGCACTTTCCTTGGATTTGCATGTAAATGCTGGCCACTAAATGCTCAGTTTAACAAATTATATAGGGAGGAATTCAAATTTGCACTCTTCCAGTCATTCCATTAGTACAAGCATTTTATGATCTGCTCTCTCCCACCATGTGCTGTTCTTGAGGTTCTCCAGACACTCCAGAGCCAATTGAGGGTGCATGGGGGAGGGAGGAAACAGGGAAATCTTGTTTTTGTAGTGAGACTTCTTATGCTGGTTCCCACAAACCATCAGCACAGCCTCTCAGCATGGCTTTCTGCCATCTTTTAAGGTGGTAGTATTGTTACATTCCAGGCAGATATCAGCACAAATACTGAGGACTGGAGAGCTAATTGATAAAGAAATTTGTCACGGTGGGGATAAAAAATTGCATTTATTCATTTGCCTCTAGCCACTCATTTAAGACACTAATGGATGCATTTTAGGCATTGTATGGTGTACACAGAGAAAAAAGACCCTTAGGCCATCATATTTTAATTAGTGATCCCACCTTATGGCCTCTGCTAAACTCTCAAGGCCCCACACAACATCAGACCACTAAACTGCTTTAAAATTTAAATAAATTCTCAAGCTTGGCACAATTATGTTTTTAGAGACTGGATCACCGTGACCTGGAAGATAGTGTGTGTTTTTCTAAATGTTTAGGAGATGACTGCCAATTTGCTAATGCAACACATGTCAGCGTTTGTAATGGTTGTTTTTGAAATGCTTAATAGAGAAGAAAAACAGCTGTTGCAGAGATGTGAACAGAAGATTTTAAATTTTCCTCACCATGGAAGACTACAAATTTCAGCCACAAAACGAGATCAGCTGCTTGAAGAAAAGGCATGGATACAGGTAAGAAGGACATGATGTCCCAGTATATGCATCAATATTTATATATAGGAAAGCAAATGGGAAGTATGGTCAAGTGGATTTATTGTTGTTCAGTAATTAGAATCTTAGTCCATTTGGCAGTCTAAAAAAAATAATGAATAATTTTGGCCACAGGAGTAGTGCAAACTTCTTGCAAGGTTGGAGGGTATTGAAGATTTAGTTGTTCATGAACATGTTTTTACTTTTCTGAGTATTTTTAAAATATTTACTTTCTTAAATTTAATTGGCTATTGGAAATTAGTTGAGCGGGAGGGAAATAAAACTTTCAAAGACAAATTTCATTTATTCTTTGTTTCGTTTATTCTATCAGTGTCTGATCAATGAACTTCATGATTTAGGTTCTTGAAAAAGTAACTTAGAAGTTTGACATGCAATGATTTTTATAAAAATGTTGTTCTTGCCTAACTTTCTTATACAGTTTTGAAATCTTCATTTTCTTCTTCTTCTAGTAAAATAGGAAATATTCATGATCATAACTAATAAATGGAAACTTGTAAATGTTGACTTATGATGTAGCTTTTGTTGTAATTGGTTTTCAAAAATAGGTACAAGTTCTTTGCTGAAGAAAAAAGGCTGGGTTGTCAAAAGCCAGCAGGACTACCTGTTCATGAACCAATGCAGATGTAGTGTGTAATGTTCTCTGTTTCAATGATGAGCAGGTCAGAGGAATTGAAGAAGAAATAGTTTTATTAAAGAACTATGTACAATAGGTCTTCATTCCCTGGCTACTTTCTCCTTCTGCCTCTAGCTGAGCCTCCTCCCTGGGCCTATCCCCTAAAGTAGTGTTATAGTCACATTATTCTAACATAGTGTATTCTTGCCCTCCACAAAGGTTAAAGGATTGGGAGTGAACCATGGAGTATAGCATCATTCTGTGGTTTGGTCATTAGGTGGCATTAGACCTAATTGTATTTGAGTAGAATGAAGAGCTGCTTGTTGCTGTTCTGTTCTTGGTTGAAAGAAACAATAAAGTTCCTGTTCAGTTTTTTGCCTGGCCTGTTCTCTAAGCCCTACATGGCACCTGGAGTTGTATGCTGCCTCCCCTGTTCTAGAATGAATTCCAGCTATCCTTCTCTAAGCATTATTAAATGGTTTAAACAAGGAATTTGGAACTTCCGGCTTATAGGCCTACTTGACCTACCTGGGATTCAGATTTAGCCTGTGAGATGTTAGGTGTGTGACAGGTTGAGATACAACTGCCAATGCGCAATCTTAAATCTTAAAGTGATTGCACATTGGCAAGGAAATCAGACTGGATTTTCTACACAAGCAAGTTCTCCACAGGGAACTCACTTGTGCAGCTGATGCCTGTGGAAAGCCAAAGCCTTAGCTTTTAAGCACCACAAGCCCTGCTGGGTGTTTTGAAGTCTTGATTTTGGAACTTCAGATTGCCTAATCAATCAATCAATCATTATGACTTCATGTGACAGATGTCATCAGCCATGCCCATCTGTCAAATTCGGCTCACAAGGCTAGTATCTGAAAAGGATCTGGTATGCAGCACCAAAATGGTTCCCCACCCTGATTTAAACAAACATTAACCACACTTAGCACTAACCAGGTTTCACTGTTAAGACCCAAACCCAATGGCTTCAAGTTACAAGAAAGAAGATTCAAATGAAACACCAGGAATAACTTTCTGATGGTAAGAGCTGTTTGACAGTGGTGGATTCCAAAGGTTTTTAAGCAGAAGTTGGATGGCCATCTGTCATGGATGCTTTAGTTGAGATTCCTGCATTGCAGGGGGTTGGACTGGATGATCCTCAGTTCCAACTCTACAATTCTAAAGGATTGGAAGCTAGATTTAGAAACTGCTTTTTTACTGGATGGGAAGAGTCATGTGGGAGTGGCATACCCTAACAATGCTGGGCCCAGCCTGTTGATCTTTGTGCACCTGAAATAATAACATTGTTAGAGTGTACTTTTTAATGTTGTGTCACATAGCTGTAATTTTGGATTTTAGTCCTGTATCCCCCCTACAAATGTTGTCAAATATTTAACAATACAGAAGTTATATAACACAATTTCCCTCTTTATTTCTTTCTCCAACTTTACCAGCTAATGGAAATTAGTACGGTTGAGTTTGGAGATGTAGTTTTGTTAACTGAAGACCATTGGGTTTTTGGCTCTATTATCAAATCAGTAATACAGAGAATGAATTGTTTGTGCTACAAACTTGATTTTATACACAAAGTAACAGACCTGATGTTGTCCTGGTGACCTTGAGAAATACTTGTGTGTGCTGAAGCACTACTTTTGTCTGTTTTCCTGCTGCAGAAGAAACTGTACAGCAAATAACATATGTTTCAGGCAACACAAAGTGCAAATTGAATTTATTGGACGGACTATTTCAGTTCAGAATGAAAAGCTCTTCTTCCTGTGCTAATTAGTACAACTGCAAAGCTGAATTAGCTTTCAAGGGTTGGCATGTCTTCAGAAATGTGCCTTTACAAAGTGACTGACTGTTGTTGCTTTGATTCATGCTTTTAGCTTGTATTTGTTTAAACATATTGATCCTAATCCTGAGAACATAACTCACAGATAAGCTTTCTTTAAATCAGTAGGACTTACATTAATAACATTCAACTTGAGTTTCATTGGGTTCAAGAGGATAAGGTAGAACTTCAGCTCTTTTCAGACATATTGAGTTACGTGAGAGATTCTTTTCTATGGTTCTTTCCCATATGACTGTGACATGGCTGCACATATTGTAACCATGTGGGTGAGGTTCATTGGGTGGGAAAGATGAGCTTGGTATCCATAATATTCATAAATGCATTATAGCCATGTGGAGAATTGGCTGGAGAATTGGCTCTTGCATGTGTTTGTGTGTGCTTGCACCATTTGGTATAATTCATCGCATCCTTTTTTTAACAAGAATGCACAATTCTGTCTCTACTTCATGCAGAAAGAAATTGAAATCCTTAGAGCAAGGCTGGCTGTTCTAGAAGCTAAAGATCAACAGCTAAGGAGAGAAATTCAGGACCAAGATCAGTTTATTCAGATGCAGGACTGTGAGTTGTCTACCTTGCTTAGCTGGGTATCGCTTGGAGATCTGCAAGAAATAGGCAAAGCCTTGACTGAAACTTCAAAGGCATCACAGAATATTCCGTGCACTTTGGATTTACCAGAGTCCCTTAAAAGGTATGTATTATTGTATGATACTTTGAAATCCTGTATAAAAACTCTGTTGTATTGTTTTCTTCTGATTTCTGTCTTATAGGGCATCTTACCTCATCGGAAAATAAATACATGAAAATTTCTGTTTTTAGCTTTAGAGCCTGATGTTCAGAAAAGCTGCTTTGGGGCATTGGAATGATTTTGGTGCTACATAATATTTTACCAGGAATTGGGTTTACTATAGCTATAACAATAGTCACATAAGCCATTCATTGATAACATACATTTGTGATGGCATGGTGAAAACTTGCCAGCCTTGAAAGGATCTACTTCACTTGAACACCTTCCCACATGGAGCACCTTCCATGTGGTTGTTTTCCCCCCAAGAGGCTTGCATCTTATTTCTAAATGAGGATTTCATTAGTGCAGAGATGGCCAAAAGGCAATCATTTCATCCCCTATGCTGAGTAAGAAGCAGCATTATCAATCTTTTGTGCCATTTCCATCTTTACTGGTGTCTTTCCCATGTGTCATGGGAGGGGATTATTTAAACTGTTAAATAAAGACTCAAGCAGGTCTTTCATTTTGATACAGTGATTTGTCCTGCCCACTAAGCAGAGAAGTGGCAAAATAGGTCCCCACACCCATTTATTGACCTCTGATCTCAAAACCTTTTATCATATTGCAGCTGAAGACCCTCATTATTACAGAAGAGAGGTGACACCCCCTCCCCACATTACAAAGCAAATGCCATTCACTTCACATCATGCTGAAAGGGGTGGGTGTCTTTAACTTAGCATAATGCTGATGGGGTGAAAATGTCTGTCCTGTCTTATTTCCATTAGTTGGTTATAGAATTCTGTAAAAAAAGAAAGAAAAGACTTTAGGGTCAGAGAAATCAGTTGCATATTACATTGATTTTAAATAATTTTTGCTGCTATTTGTCAATTTCAGTTGGAAAATCAGTCAACAAATGCGGGAGTTAAAGTGACAGCTTTTGGATTAGTCAGTTGCTATCCTGCTTTGTTATTGACACAAGTAGATACATTGAGAAGGACATTTTTTTATTGCATGCTTTGATGAAAAAGATCAATGGAGGTCACATCTACAAAACTGAGATTAATTATCACAGAAACCACTTATCTGTATGTATCTTGCTTAGCTTTCATATTTTTAAAATTTAATCTTCTCATCTGCTTTCCTGTTGCTCATTCTTGGCTCCCTTGTATTATACTCAAGGGTAATGCCAAAATACTTATTTTGGATTAGGGGAGGGAGTGGGAATCTGGATGCCAGTTCTAAAACAGTGCCTTGAGGGCTGGATAGTGTCCAATATTTTTTTTAAAAAACTTGAACGCTCCGCTTTCATTCCCACATTCACCCCCTGTTTAGCCGTTGCTGGTTGAAATGCGTCCAGAATGCAAAACCTGTTTTATGGATGTTTTAAATAATCTGGATTAATATTGTCATGGCCATTGGCAGTAGGATTTTCTCTTGATGTTTCTGGTAACCACTCCATTCAGCCACAAGAGCCCTTAAAGGTTTGTCTGAAAGAGGTTAATTCAAAGATAATCTTAAATGCTTGGGGCCTGAAAGGCTTATTAGTTAGAATATTGTTCAGCCACATAGTAATTCTGGTTGAAGGCAAGGCCAGCTTGTGCCAATTTCTCTCTCTCTCTCTCTCTCTCTCTCTCTCTGTGTGTGTGTGTGTGTGTGAGAGAGAGAGAGAGAGAGAGAGAGAGTGCTGCTTGAGGAAATTAGCGTGAAGAGAGAACTATGATTGTTCAATATGTTCATTAAGCACTATGAAAAGTGGTGCCCTGAAGAAATATCTATTGTCAGTAGGAGGGTCTGTCACCATAGAACTTATTGTAGCATAAAATATACATAAATCTTGGTTTCATTCAGATTTGGCCACAAATCTGTAGAGAGCTATGTAAGCTGTAAGGCAGGGGTCAGCAAATCTTTTCAGCATGGTGCCGGTCCACTGTCCCTCAGACCTTGTGGGGGGCCAGACTATATTTTGGAGGGGAAAAAGAGCAAATTCCTATGCCCCACAAATAACCCAGAGATGCATTTTAAATAAAATCACACATTCTACTCAGGTAAAAACACCAGGCAGGCCCCACAAATAACCCAGAGATGCATTTGAAATAAAAGGCCACATTCTACTCATGTAAAAACATGCTGATTCCCTGACCTTCCATGGGTCGGATTTAGAAGGCAATTGGGCTGGATCCGGCCCCCTGGCCTTAATTTGACCTCCTAGATGCCAAGCAGTTGCTCTACCACTGAGCTATATGGAGTGCCAGTTGGACTGTTATTCTGTGGTCTTCCCTGTCTGGAATTCCTTTCTGACAGTCGTTTCTCCCAATGGCTTGCCTTCACTTCTGTACTTGACTTTGTAGGGCTTCTCCTGCAACCTCCCCTCCTAACCTGCCTTTAGGGTTTGCTGCTTTCTTCCCTAGCTGCTGGTGAAGCACAGTAAAGTTGAGTATTCTACCTCATTTTAGCTTACTTTTACTCTTCATTCGGAGCCAAATGGCTCCTTGGTGAGCCACATCTCTTCCCCCAGCTTCAGTTGTTCAGCTTTTGATTACATTTTTAAAATGCATCTATAGCTATTTTGATGCATGACTTGCATGTGTGTTTTATCCTACTCATGGAAGATGATAAATTTGTATGCTGCGGTCTGAAAAGGTCTGCATTTATGAATTCTGCATGTACGCAAATAAACCCCTGGATATACAGACCAAACCTTACAACCTTACATTAGTTTATGTATTTTTCTGCATTATTTGTGCCAGTTGTGGAATGCTCTCCCCAGGGAGGTTCGCCTGATGCCTTCATTATATATCTTTAGGCACTAGGCAAAAACGTTCCTCTTCAACCAGGTCTTTGGCTGATTAATATTCTACAGCCTTTTAAATGTGTTTGTGGGAGGGGGCTTTATTGTTTTGTTGTTTTCGTTTAAACTATTTATTTGTGCTTTTATCTTGTATTTTTATCATATGAACTGCCCTGAGATCTGAAGGGTCGTATATAAATAAAATGGATAAAAATAAATAAAATAAGCATTATTACACCATTATTACACTTACACTTCCTTTCACTTTTATGAGAATTCTGTGCATCTCTGAAATTCTAAGAACCATTACATTAGCACCTATTTCCCTTTTTGATATTGCAAGTAGTCCTTAACCTTAGAACTTTTTGTTAATTGCCTAACTGTGTCTTGTTAAAGTATCAGAGCCCAAAAGCTGTTTAGCCAGCATGGTGTAGTGGCTAAGAGCAGTAGACTCGTAATCTGGTGAACCGGGTTCGCATCTCCGCGCCTCCACATGCAGCTGCTGGGTGACCTTGGGTTAGTCACACTTCTTTAAAGTCTCTCAGCCCCACTCACCTCACAGAGTGTTTGTTCTGGGGGAGGAAGGGAAAGGAGATTGTTAGCCACTTTGAGACTCCTTAGGGTAATGATAAAGCAGGATATCAAATCCAAACTCCTCCTCTTCCTCCTCCTCCTCCTCCTCCTCCTCCTCTTCTTCTTCTTCTTCTTCTTCTTCTTCACTTGAAATATTGATAGTCTTACTTTATGGGTTAACAATCACGTTATGCTATTTGGATTAAGCAGTAACTTTTCAAAAGATGTAATGATTGGTAGGGTAAAGTGAAAGCGCCTGCAGAGAATCCAGCATGAGTCTACTTCATTTTTATTGTGTTTTCACAATGCACAATTATTGGTCCAAGAAGCATTCTTTTTTTGTATAATTCATGATATTAAAAAAAGTTTATCCAATGGTAAATAAGTTTTTTTAAAACAACTTTAATTGTAATGAGCAGTTGCTTGATAAAAGATGTGCAAAATTGCACATGGAGAGGTTCACAGATAAGAACTGTAATCATGCCAAGGAGTTATTGATTCCTTGATTGATTCATATTGTGCAGACTTTGCTGAAGGGCAAGGAAATCATTCCATTTCAAACTTTTAATAGAATTTTGCCATATATCTTCCACTGAGGCAAGCTTCAGCAGATAGAAGCCCCTGGAGTACAGTGTTTGCCTTCTTTCAAAGGACTTGGATTAGATCTATTTTGAAGGTCATGCCTTTCAAAATGCCATTTGTGGAAAAATTTCAAAAGTCTGTGGTAGAACCAGCGTGTACTGCTGTTTTGGAGTCTCTTCAGCAAATAAAATATGATCGCCTCCTTAGGCACCCACACCTGCTCACCAACATCTTCTAGTTTTCTTTTCAGATGTGAGTGTGGATTATTGGCATTATCCCACAGTGAGTTAGCTTTCTTTTCCTACCCCCCGCCAGCTTTATTTGGTAATGGGATGCTACAGTTTCTGATGGCCTCATGCTAGAAACAGGCCTTAAAATATAAAATTTAGTGGGCATGGTCAAGTCAATCTTAAGTACTTTTTATGTCCAGCCCAGGGTGGGGTAGGGATTAAACATATGTTCTTCATAAATTAATGTGATTTTGTGTGGCCTCTTCTTTAGAGCCAAAAAGTAACATAGGAATACTTTTAGAAATAAATACATACATTTAAAAGTGCTTAGCTTTGGATGAGTTGGGCTGTAAAGAAACGAATGGGTGTTTTGGTGTAACAGACAATAGTTTCAACTATCTGAGAGAGTTGTTACGGGATAAACAAACTGGAATATTTGTTTTTGTTTCTGAGACGTTGATTATCCAATAATGGGAATCTTTTAATATTCATTTAATTTTTCTAGGCTTCAAGAAAAAGAGCAATCGCTCAATATGTCCATTAAAGATACAGCTGCCAGAGTAAGTGCACTTTAACTGCTATATGTGTTTCTGTAAATGTAAGGCATTAATGAGGCAATTAATTACATAAGTGTAAGGAAGCAGTCTGTGAACAGCTTTCTAAAGATCTTGTTTTTAATGTAATATGAAGTGATTATTGGAATGCTGACATTATGCTAATTTGGTCAGTGTATAAGAAGTGAAAATGTGACAGCTGGATAGTGGGTGGAATGGTGCATTAAATATTTTATTTCTTAGCTCATGCAAAGGAGAGATAATCAGTGAGCTGCCAATTGGAAAAAAATTATCAGGTTTATGAGGGCTTTGAATATTATTTAAAACATCCCCCCACCAATCTCCATTTGCAAAGACTTTTGGAGTGGCTTAGAATAGGACTAATAAGAACAATAACAAACAAGACAGTCTTTACCCATCAGCTTGCAATCTAAAGGACACAAGACAAAAGAAAGTGGGGATTCAGAGACAGGAGGAAAACAAGCAAGCTCAGGCATAATTTCTTAATGGTGCTTGTAATGACAGACCTGAACAGAAACAGTTCAGGGATACAGAGTTGAATGATGCTGGTTTTTCAGTAGAGTTGATAAGAGTGAGTGCTGCAGTCCTGTCTCTCCCTCTGCTTGCTCATATCCTTGATTTTAGCCATCATAGCAGTAGTTAATGGCCTGGTTTACATGTCACACAAAGCCAAACATGCAGGCACATGGAGAGGAGATTGCAAATTAACATTACCAGATTTTTTTCAATGAATCCGGGAACACTTTAGATACACACATACATGCATACATACTACACATTCGGGACGTTGATGCTGCGGCGATGGCGGTGGCAGAGGGGCGGCCACCGTCTTTACCTCAACCGCCACATTTCCCCTTCCTCCAAGGCTTCTATCTCCTTTCTCCATCATGAGTCTGGGCAGCCCCTGAGTTGTTGGTTCTTTGGCAGTGGTGGGGAAGCGGTGCACGTTGGGTCAGGCATGGAAGGCGGAGAAGGAGGGCTGAGAGCATGCAAATAGGAGTTGGGATCAGGGCTGCTCCAATAGGCAGCATGAAGCCTCCCTTCACAGCTTAGTTGCTGGGGTCAGGGAAGGTGGAGGCAGCCCAGAAGATGCATCTTAGAGCCCCTGCACCAGAATCATATGGGGACTTCCGGCAAGACAAAATGGTGGGCACCACAGAGCGAGCAGCTCCTGAATCCAGCCAGAGCCAACTGCGCTGCCGGGCTGGCTCTGGGCTGGTGAGGCTGCCGCTGCCACGTTTCCCAGGGACATTAGATGAAATCCGGGGACATTCCAGGGGTGGAATTTGTCCGGGGAAAGATTCGCAAATCCGGGGACTGTCCCCGGGAAACTGGGACGTCTGGCAAGATGCTTCACTCCTCAGTCGTTCAACTACAGTGCTGAGCTAAGGCATGGATAATCTTACTGTGTTGTTTGAAGCCGGGCTTGTGATTTAACTTTCTTCAGACTAACCAAGATTTGTCCTGTGATTTACAGTTCATGGAGAACTAAACCACAAGCCAGGGTTTGGGCAACATGCTAAGCCAAATCATGCTAGTAAATTTAACAAGAAGGCTCATTCCTACGATTCTAAGAGGTACAAAAGTGCTTTGATATTAGGAGCTGAACTGCTGCTGCAGTCTTTAGGACAGATTGCAAGAGGAAAGGAAGTGGTCCACCACTCTTCCACGCCCTAAGAAAATGTATTACTTTTTCATGTTAGGGTTTCTCAGAATGTTGGAGCAGCAGTTCCAATATTTGCTCCTACCTCAGTTCACGGAGTAAGCAGGCTTCCTTGTACTGTTTGAAGCACAACATGCTCTTCTATTAGTCTTGAGAGTCTCGGCCCAATACTGTGCTAAGCAACCTCTTCACAATAGCAGGGAGAATTATGATGGTAGTATTGTTTATAAATGTTTCAGTATCCATTTTGGATTCAGTGGAGGCCGTTGAAAAGTTATTTGGTGTGAAAACTGTCCATAGAATATTCTGAAATAAACATTGCTGAATTAGAACTGTGCAACTGCCTCATAGATTATGCAGTTTCATCTTGGAAAAGTAATATAAACACAGTGGGTTCACTAATTTCTACAGGTACTTAAAATTGAAGGCTTACTTAAAAATCTTGAAAGCCCAGAATTAAATAGCATGAAGTGTCTCTCACTCTTCCCACAATAATAAGTAACTGATTGTTCCCTCCCCCTACTACATGGTCATAGGAAATATGTGCTATTTATGAAGATACGTAGCATTTTGAGTGACTATTGAGCAAGACTTTGTGATAATGAACTGAGCAGTCAGCCTTAGTCACTTTGTCCCCTTCAGAATAAAGCCAGGCCTGGTCTGATGCAAAGTGGCGATGCCTCACTTGGATATGAAACTTTGACAGAGGTGCTGCCTTTGGCATCAATAACTCAGCACTGCTTCCATCTCTTTGATTTTTCTAAGTGATTGTTACAGCAAATACTGAAGATAGCATGACATTTTGAAAGAGTGAGTTAATTTTAGTATTCTAACACACACTGCTGCCTCCTCCATTCCTGCCACTATTGATTAGCTTCATATAGGAGTGAGGTATTGTACGGAGCCTGGCTCTCTAGGCTTAGAACACTCTAGTGCTACTCGGAGTGGCTTATTTAAATGCCAAAATGGTGGCAGTTCACTGAAGGAGGGCAGTTGGCAAGGCAGAGCCACAACAGCAGTACTGAGACAGTCGGTGGAATCAGTACAGAGCTAGCTGATGCTAACTGAGCTTAAATCTTTGGCCATTTTATTCTTGTTGTTGCTTTCAACATCTCTTTCTTTTCATGTATAAATCAATATACATACTTACTTAGTCCCAAGTAAGAACAAATAATATTTATTTTTGGGCAGTTGTATTTCTCTGATAGGCACTGAGCCACCTGTGTTTGGCATTGGAGGAAATGATGCTTGTTTTTAGATGGGAAGGGATGGAAGACAGTCTCTTTTGCAAATTTAATTTATCTATTTCACCTGTTTATATACTGCTTAATCTCTGAAGTTTATAAGTAGTGCATGTAAATTTACAAAAAAAACCTCAGAGTGAATAAAATCAATTAAAACTTAATCACAAAAGCATAAAACTTCCTTATTGTCTGCTGAAATGGAAAGGTCTTTGTCTGACATTCAACAGGGAGGTGACTTGTAATGTATTATTTCTGCTTTGATTCTTTGAATAGGTGTTTGGCGCTCTGCTAGCACCTTATACTGCATTCCTCTTCCCAACAGATACTTGTGCTAGCTGTTCACTTCAGCAAGAGAATTGGGCTCAGTTTCTAGGAACATTGGTCCAGCCTGCGTGACTCTGCCCTGTATGTCTTGTGGTGGAGTGCTGTTTTAGCTGTTCCATAAGGACAGCAATAGTAGAGAGTAGGGCCGGATTGTTAATCTGAACCAAGTGTTTGTTTACTTTGATCTTCAGCCGTTATGACTGTCAACAAGATATTTACAGAAAGATCAAACATCTGCAATAATTTTCCAGCTTTGGCCTCTTGCCTGAAATATAGTCTTGCAGTATCTGCTTGTCTGCTTTGTTTGTGATCATCATTTTTCCCTATTTGGGCAACTGTTAAGAGAGTTACTATTTCTGGGGATTCTGTGGCAAAGTCCTTGAATGGCAGGATGAATGTCTTGCAGCAATATCACACATCACTTTTTATTAACCTTTGTTGTCATGCCGTGTAATGATATGTCATGTCTGTAAACCAAGACAATTTGAAATGCCTTTTTTATTCCCTTATATTTTTACATGAATGAATTATATATCATGGCTGTCTGCCTTAATCTAGGTGTGTACCAGTCAGAAGCTGTGCAGCACTTTAAGGAGGAAAGTGAATGATATTGAGACTCAACTACCAGCTCTTCTTGAAGCCAAAATGCTTGCTGTTTCAGGTGATTTTTTTTAACCATTAACTTTTTCTTTTTCTTTTTTTAGTTTTCAAGAAGTATTCATACAGGTTGCATAGATGCAGACAGAGTTGCAAGGCATTGTACTGAATCACTATAATAAGACCAAAACAACAACAACAAAACACCATCAACTGCATTATGCTACATATCCATAGGAAACTCAAACTTACTCAAGAAAAGGGTGTGCACTAGGTTTTATTGCAATGTCCAGTGTTTATTTGAAATAAAGTTATGACCATAAATATTTCAGAATTTAATCATACCAAATGAATCTTTATGTTTGGTTCCCTTTGGCTTCATAAGTTTTCCAACCAGTGTTACGTTCCAGACCAGTGGTTCTCATCTGGTGGACTGTGGCACCATTCACATAACTCTTGAGAAATGAGGGGGGGGGTCTGCAGTATTTAGTTAATTTGGAGCCACTGTTTTCAACCTTTGTCCACCATCCTTGCAGCAAAAATGAAGTTTTGTACCACCAGTATTTGGCTACCTTTTCAGCCAGCAGCAAGGCTGTTAAATCCTTATGCATAACTTTGTCTGTAGCCTCAGGGTTAATTGGCAATAAACCAATACCCAGATTCATCAGGGTTAATTTTTGGACTTTAAATGGGATCTCTTGGAATTTCCTCTGCCAGAATGTACTAGCCACTGGGCAGTCCTACCACATGCAGTTAAAACTGCCTCTTTGTATTCCGTCCCCTCTAGCAGGTAAGTCCTTATTTGTCTGATTTAGCTTTACCAGCATTCCAGGTAATTTTTGATGAAGGGTTATTGAGTCTTCCTAGTCTCTTAGGGTGAATTCTTCATCCTGACCTGCATGTGTAAAGAAAGCAGGAGAGAGTTCTTCTAGCTAACAGTAGTTTTGTTTCATAAAGAGGTTTGAGAATTAAGATGCATCTGATTTAAATGACATTCCACAATGGAATACAGGAATTGGCAGCTTCTTATTCAGATCGATAAGCAGCTAATGCTGGCAATGGAAGAGCTATTTGTCTTCAGAGTGCATGTGAATATTATTCATGAGCAAAACACTGATATGTGAATCTGAACTTCACAACATATTAAGTTGTTATGATCCCCCCATAACAGCTTTTTATGCCTTGAACTTTGGATTACTGTAGTCCCTTTCCTTTTTTTTAAGTAGGAGTGAGAGAGAACAAATTATGCACAGTCGTGTTTACAATTTGCAGAGTTGACAAGCAGAAAATCTCTCCCATTAGGCAACGAGCCAGCCCAATGAATGGGTGTATGGTTCAAGAAGGTCTCCCATCAAAGAACACTGTTGTGATGTGTTTTCTGCATGCCAAGAGGATGCATATAGCTTATGATTTTTGCACTCGCCAGCACATATAGTGTTGTGTAATAGCACTTTGCACTTTGAAATAAAGTGAGGAGTTGTACCATCAGCTCTTGAAATATTCTTAGAAGGCCTGTACATCTATAATCTCACCACTTCAGCTCCTCGCATTCTTCTCTCCTACCCTTCACCATGCTGCCCATCTGGCCTCTTTCCACAGCTGGCTTCTCTTATTGGGCAATTACCGTATTTTTCCCTCTATAACACGCAGATTTTTTCTCCTAAAAAGGAAGGGGAAATGTCTGTGCGTGTTATAGAGCGAATGTGTGGTCCCTGGAGCCAAAAAATCAAGCAAAAGTCAAATCGCGAGTCACGGAGAAGGGAAACCTGAAAAGAGTTTCAGGTTTCCCTTCTCCGTGACTGCTTTCCTGCATTCTGCCTCAGGGTCTTACTGCCCACCCTCCTCTGTTTCGTTGCTGTGATTGCTGAAACGGAACAAAGAGCAGGGAAAGCCCCTCCCCTCCAGGCAAGCAGAGTGTCGTTCTTTCTAATTCCTCTCTGTGCTCCAGTGCTGCTGGGGGAGAGGGAGAGAGAGTGGGGGAGGGAGAGGGAGAGGGGGGGAGGGAGAGAGAGGGGGGGAGGGAGAGAGAGAGAGAGAGAGAGAGATGGCTGGCTTGGGGGGGAACTTTTGCCTTTCTTTCCTCCCACCCGTTAAATCCCTCTCCAGCATTCTTAGCCAGCTGCTTCTCTGCACACCCCTCTCATGTCCCTTCTTTGTTTTTCCTTCGCTCCCCACTTAAAATGTGGTTACAAAGCATAGATCAACATGGATTCTCAGGATCTTTGCATTGGGTCACCCCAAATTCACCATCAGATCACATAGCATGTCCATGGCTATAGCCTGCACCCAAAAAATCATGCACCCACTGTTGCCTGGGGCTGCAATGGTGCAAAAACGTGGTTACAAAGCATGGATCCACAGGAATTCTCAGGATTTTTGCATTGGGTCACCCCAAATTCACCATCAGATCACATGTCTGTGGCCACAGCATGAAGCACAAAAATGATACATCCACTGTTTCATTCGGAATGTTTTTTCCCTTGTTTTCCTCCTCTAAAAACGATGTGCGTGTTATGGTCAGGTGCGTGTTATAGAGCGAAAAATACGGTAATACTTTTCTTAGGCTTCCAGTGAGTTTTGTCTCTGCTCTGGAGAGATGCTCTTGCATCTCTCAAGAGGGGATTAATGTTGAGTGAAATTATATGAATCCTATATAAATTACTTGGTGTGTAAGAACTTAGAACTTTTATATGGTTCACAGTGCTTTTCTACTAGCGCTCTGTAGTTTCAGTTTCAATAATATTTGATGTATTGTTCAATAGCAATGGGGAGGGGGGAGAAAAAGTATGGATTGGGAGCACAGTGCATGTGGTTTGAGCTTAACCTTTCCCACGGTTCCTGGAAAAAAAAAGCCCTCTGCAAGCTGCTGTTTGCTGAGGGAATAAAGAAGATAGGTAGCAAATAGTTTGGGGAAGGAGGAGTTACATTGTGACTGTGGCATGAGAGAAGGGATACAACCTCCTTCAGCGTAATAGTTCTGTAAAACAAATGTACTATTATGTCCACATTGCAAATGGGGCCTGAGACAGAGAATCATAGGTTCATCCCTGACCCTGTTCTTTCCCTGAAATGTCAGTATCGTAGGTGGTTCAAGGACTAATTTGCATAAGCTACACATTTGTTTGCTTAAGACGACCGCATGGCCTGACTTTTAGAATCTCTTCTTATATGGACTTGCAGCTTCATCAGTTTGTGGCAGTGTGGCTGATTACATATCTAGGCTAATTACAGGTCTAATTTCTTCATGGCCACTCGGAAGTGGTTTTTTTTGCAGTATTGGCTGCCTATAGAGCAGCGCTGTCTAGAAGCTTGGGGCTGCAACTATCAGTCCCAGCTTGCATGACCAATGGTCGGGGATGACTTGACTCATGTATTGCAGAGGGTTGGATCTGATGACCCTTTGGGCCCCTTCCAGCTGTACAGCTCTGCGATTCTATGAGTTGTGGTTCATAACATCTGGAGGACACTACACTGTCTACCCCTGAAATAGTGGATAAGGTTAACATGGCACTTTTGTGTTTATGTGGTTCTGAACTACATTAATGATGGCTGTAATTGGGGCTTATTACTGCACGGCTGTCTAGCTTCCATTCCATATGCTAAAAGCATCTGAATGCCTTTTATTTTCCTCACTCTTTTAGGGAATAACTTCTCATTTCCCTTTTGTATAATTTTCAGTTTAAAATATTTTACATGATTTTGTTTCATGTTGGCAATGTATATATTTTATTGTTTATAAGTGTCTTGTGCACAGCTGTTTGGTGTGGTATAGAAGCAAAATTATTTTCATTCTCAGTCGTGGGTGGGCAGTAAGGGGTCGAGGCAGACAGCAAGCAGTTTACCATTCAGTTATTTGCCTGGGGCAGCTGCTATCTATTCTGGGCAACCTGCCAAGTGGCAAATTGCATGGCTGAACTATATGTACAGTTTATTTCAGCAGCATTATGTAGGTCTTCATCACAGAGTTTGTGCCCTACCCAGTTTGTACCCCACCCTAGTATCTTGCTTCGAATGGCTCAGATTGAGTCCAGATTGATTGACAGCTAATTGAAGGTGACTTGCCTGTCCCTGGGTGGGCCTTGAAAAAGATTTTGACTCCAGGCGTGTTGCTTTAACCCCCAAATCTTCAGGCTGCCTATTCCATTTATTCATTATTTATTTTGTTTGCAATTATTTGTTTCTGCCTTTCCACTGAAATATACCCAAAACAATTCCAAAGAATAAAAACATATAAAATTGCAAAAAGCAACAAAACCAAATAGCAGTTAAAATTCAGACCTGAAAAAAATCCTCAGCATAAAGACATTTATTTCCTCCCCTTTTCCAAGGACATACAAATAAAATTGCTTTCATTTGCTGCCTAAAACAGAGGAGAAAAAGGGCCAGGCAGACAGCTCTGGGGAAAGTATTCCAAAGTCTGTGCACCAGTAAAGTGTTGTAATTGTTTCATCTTTTATGCATTATAAAGGATGATATGGAAAAATTGGCAATGAAAGAACTACCTCCATATAGCTTTACACTTGGAAACACAAGCATGGACTTCTGCTAATATTCTTTTGTGTTTATTTTTTCATTTTAAATAGACATATTAATAGAAAATTGGTGCAGGAAGCTAGTAGATGTTGTGCTACAAATGTCAAAGCAATGTTAATAAAGGAAGCTGCAATGTGTGTGTGTGTCTATACTGGTATATGTGTGTGTGTATATATAAATATATAATGTAATTGCTATTTTTAAAATATTGACCATCATTTGATCAACTTTTTCTGCTTTTTGGAAGACGCTTTCTTTCAAATTATTGGGAAAGGCTTGCTTAGCAAGATCTGACAAGTACTATCTGAGGCAGTGCAGTATGGAAATGTTGAAAGAGAAAGGCATACTGAATAAATTATAACATGCAGTTTACATAAAACATAAATCTGTCATGGAAATGAAAAATTGTAGTAATTAAACAGTATTAACTAGATGTTTCCCTGATGAATATATTTCCAGCCACCAAAAAATTACCTTCATCTCTTTTTTTAAAAAAAATACAGAACACCTTTATTATTTTGTGATTTTTAACAGTGAGACAGATTTATATTTATGTTTTTAAAAAACGAGTTCTCTTGTAGGATTTAGAAAGTGCCCATTGCAGTTACTGTGATTGAGGTCAGGAGTTCAGCACTGGCACTTTAAACGAGTGGTGTGCTGATCTCTTGATGAGTTCTTGATATCTGAAGGCCTATTCCCTCTGTCAGGGAAAAAGCTGCATAGGGCAGTTTTGCCTCGTGGGCATATATTAGAGGCAAAAATGCTTGTAAATTATTAACAGGGATACTATGTTTATTCCATCATAGCTTCAGGTTTTGATATTAACCTTCCCTCTAGGAATTAATAATGATTCAGTATATATGAAATTTTAATAGGCAAGGTAGTGCCTTCTTCTTAACTTTTTTTTTTAAAGACTAAGAATGATTAGGCTGTGACTTCTAATTAAGAAGCCTTAAATTTTTGAATGGCCCCATGGCAGAATAGCTCCAGCAGTAGAGGGAAGCACACAGGTGCTAGCTCAGACTTGCCAGACAGGGAGTTTTTTTGACCCCTCTCTTACATCAACAAGCCCCTTTCTCCTGTCTGTTGGACTCTACACACAGGAAGGACATAGCACAGTGCACCAGACAAAGAAGACTCTAGTCTAGGTACATTATTCTAAATCCTCTTTCAGATCCTAACTCAAAGCAATTGCACAGCAGAGCTTGTGAGTCTAAGAGCTTAGAACCACTAATAATGTTATTTATTTACTTATTTATTAAATTTGTATTCCAGCATGGGCGTAGCCAGGATTTTTGTTGGGGGGGGGCCAGGCCTTTTGTTGGGAGGGGGCAGAACCTCAGTTTGCTATGTATTTTTATTGTATTTTATTGATTCAGTATTGGCCCTGCCTCGGCTGCACCAGTGTATATCAGCGTTTCAGCCAGAGTTGTGTAGTGGTTAAGAGCGGTAGACTCGCAATCTGGTGAACCGGGTTTGCGTCCCCGCTCCTCCACATGCAGCTGCTGGGTGACCTTGGGCTAGTCAGACCTCTCTGAAGTCTTTCAGCCTCACTCACCTCACAGAGTGTTTGTTGTGGGGGAGGAAGGGAAAGGAGAATGTTAGCCGCTTTGAGACTCTTTCGAGTAGTGATAAAGCGGGATAACAAATCCAAACTCTTTTTCTTCATCATCCAAAGATCTCAGGGCAATTCACATCATAAAAATACAGAATAAAACCCAAAGTACATAATAAGAACAAGAAAACAAACCAATAACCTCCCTTCCCACAAATACATTTAAAAGGATCTAGACATCAGCCAAAGGCCTAGTTGAAGAGGAACATTTTTGCTTTACGCTTAAGATTTATGATGAAGGTGCAGACTAGCTTCCCTGAGGAGAGCATTCCACAAACAGGGAGCCGCTGCAGAAATGGCCTGATCTCGTGTTGCCACCCTCCAGGCCTCTCGTGGAGGAGGCACACGAAAAAGGATTTAAGATGATGATTGCAGAATCTGGCTTGGTTTATATGGGGTGAGGTGATCCTTGAGATATTGTGGTCCTGAGCTGTTTAAGGCTTTATAGGTCAAAAACTGCACTTTGAATTGGGCCCAGAAACTAACTGGCAACCAGGCAGGTGGGCCAGGATTGGTGTAATACACTTAAACAATCTTGTTCTGGTCAACTACCGGTCCACCGAATTCTGCACCAGCTGAAATTTCCAAACCATCTTCAGAAGCAGCCCTCTGTATAATGAGCTGCAGTTAGAATTCCTGATCCTCACTTCTGGTTGTGGCTCCAACACACCTACATTCAGTACAAGATTGCTATCAATTAACAGCTGCAAGGTAACTTTGAATCTCTGTTCTGTCCTCTTAGGTTTTCATGTCAAATGGTCATGCTTCCACCTTTTTTAGAGTAGCACAATCTTTCCTCGTTAAAGAACGCATTTTACTCTTTAGTGTTGTTAATGTATTAGGGTTAAATGCACCCGTGAATTCATGCTTATATGCTGTAGTGTATTAATTAGTTTGTAATTAAATTCCTTTCCCCACCCCACTGTAATAAATACCATTTAAACTGAGTTTTTGTTTTGGGTGTGAATTCCTAGGTTCTGAACTCTTTAGACATATTCTCAGGGCGGTGACCACTCAACCCATGTAAGAGATCTACCTCTCAGAAAATCACATTTAAAGTTTGTATGTGAAAAACATGCACACACAGGTTCTTTGTGACATGTATAACAGCTGGCTCTGGAGAAACCAGTCTGTAACTAAAAGAAACACCATGTGGAGTTTTGTATAGCAAAGGAAAAAGATAGCAACTGGAAAGGATTCCTTTGACCAGGCTAGACTGCCATGCATCTCTAATGAAAACAGAGGAAGGCCAGCTCATTTGGGGATGGGGTGGTAGAAGCTATGTGCATGTATTGACTCTCTCTAATTGTAAGGATTTATTTATTTGCGTATAATATATGCTCCACATGATGTGCAAGGGAGATTTCATTTCAGTTTTTTGAAGATATCCATATAAATAGCTAGCTGTAGCATAATAATGTGATGGATTGCTGGGTAATGATCCAGTCAGCATGCAATTATTTGTTAATCTAAAAAAAAATTGCATACTGACCAGATCATTACCCTGCATTCCATCACCTTTTAAAAAAACCTAAGTAGCAGTTTGGTAACGTGAATGAAAAAATAATAATCAAATTACGGTAGGTTACCACTGTTTATATGGGCAGTATAGATACGAGGAAATGGAAATCAGTGGACATAGGGAAAATGTGTTCACTACAAATTTTCTTTCATTTTCACTGCTCAGGTTTTAGCTCCTGTATGAATGATTAGCTATTAATTTCTTTTAGTAAGCTCCTTGAGGGTGTCTATTATTTATTTCTTCTCTGTCTTCCTCTGTCTCTCTAATGCCACTCCAATGAATCCACAGGAGGTAATTTCTGTACGGCTAGAGACCTTGTAGAAGAAATTAAGTCGTTAACAGCTGAAAGAGAGCGACTGGAGGGACTTCTCAACGAATGGTTCACGCTGAGTGCCAAAAATGTCCAAAAATTAGAGAGAATGAAAGAAGGTTACAAGAGACTGAAGGAAGAAATGGCGCAAGGGGAGTCTGCTTTTGGTAAGTGGAGCAGTTGGCCAGCTGTTGGGGTGACAGAAGCCTGGCATTTCCTGGGCTGTGTGTCATTCAGTATCCTGCCTGAACTGATGAGCAGCCATCTAATTTATATGACATAAGAATAGTTATTTTGATGGGCAATTCTGGCAGACCGTTTGATATATATTAGGTTGAATGTGCTGTCAGCCTCGGAGTTTGTCATTCTTGAGGGGTATTTTTCCCCTGGCGTTGTGTATGCTGATGATGTAGCAGGCTTTGAGTTGATTTCCTCTTGCTTATTTTTTGCATAGCCTCCTGTGGTGAAAAGCCTGCTAACTGACAGTGAGAATGTCTCTGCATTCATAGTTCCTGCATAATTTAATAGTGCTCTGCACATAGAATTGTGCATGCTTCAGTTTTAATCCATAGGAAATATAAGATCCCGCAAGCCCAGGAAGAAAGCTGTCTAGCATCATTGGGTTTCTAAGCATGTTGTGTAAGGATGTAATCCACAGCATGTGTAATGTTTTGAAAGCAATAAGTCTTTATTTACCTGAAAGATTAAGGTGGATTTTGCCAGTTTAGTGACTAGAACTGTCGTGAAAAGGTAAACATGGTTGAGATTATTATTGATCACATTGAAACTAGGAAATATTTTTCATGTGTTGACATTGGTCAGCGGAGCTTATTTTAAACCACAGGCTTGGCTTTGACAGGACTCCCACACCAGAGCAGGTAACTGAGAGGCAAACAATGTGGCTAAGGTGGCTGAAAGTAGGCACACCTGAACCAACCAGAGATAGGCTGAGGTTGTTGTTGTTTAGTTGTTTAGTCGTGTCTGACGCTTCGTGACCCCATGGACCAGAGCACGCCAGTACTCCTGTCTTCCACTGCCCCCCGCAGTTTGGTCAAACTCATGCTGGTAGCTTCGAGAACACTGTCCAGCCATCTCTTCCTCTGTCATCCCCTTCTCCTTGTGCCCTCCATCTTTCCCAACATCAGGGTCTTTTCCAGGGAGTCTTCTCTTCTCATGAGGTGGCCAAAGTATTGGAGCTTCAGGATCTGTCCTTCCAGTGTATAGGCTACCTCAGCCTATTCAGCCCTGAGTGCTCACTGGAAGGACAGATCCTGAAGCTGAGGCTCCAATACTTTGGCCACCTCATGAGAAGAGAAGACTCCCAGGAAAAGACCCTGATGTTGCCAGTACCAAAGAGGAAAGAGTACTAGATGTTTATCATATAGTTTATGCTTGTGTTCAAGCTTTTCTTTCACCAGTGGTGGTGCTGGTCTTTAATCCTTTTGCCTCCCCTTCCAACTTTTGATACTGATTTCCTTCCCTGCCCACACCTGCAATTTGCAGTGGGGGAAAAGATCCAATTGGAGTTGCTGTGGGGAGCAAAAAGTTAACCCCACCCACATCCAAATTGCAACCCAGATTGGGACCCTGCTCTGGAAATATTTGAAGCAAACAGCTTGCACTCAAGCTGATGATGATTGCTGTGTGTAGTTTGTCCCATAGATGTGTAAATAATGATGATAATTGCTGTGTATAGTTTGCCCCATAGATGTGTAAAAGTTATGGCTTAGATAGCTAAGCATTTATTGGTCTGACATCACTTTGTTTTATGTTAGGGGTGGACTATGGTCCTTCAAATTTCAGCAGTGCCCTGTGTGAGGCCAAAATTTGCCCCCCACCCTGCTTCTCCCCTCCCGTTCTGCTCAATTCACTATGTCACAGTTGTGACACCCCGCGGCAGCCCTTAGGCTCAATGCCCAGTGCGGCAGAACTGGTTGCACCATCCTAAGGGCTGCATTAACGCATGGTCAGCTCTCCGGGCACTGAAACATAAAAGTGGGTGAAGCAAAAAACAAAACAAACAAACAGAAGTTTAGAAGAAACTTTTGTAGGGGATCTTGGGGTGGCTGTCACAAAAACCTTTCGTCATCACAACAGCGTACTTGTGAGAGTGGTCAGCAGAGGCACCATATTCTCAAGATGATTGAGTTGGCCCCAACACAACATTGCGAGGAGGCAGGGGACAGAGCTGAGCACTCTCTGATCATTGAGACGGCCCGGTCCCCTCAAAAAACATTGCCCCCCCAAAAGTGCCTTGGCCTCTTGGATCTGGCACCTATGGTGGCCAGTGAGTTATTAAATCTTACATATAATAAAAATGCAGGAGTGTCATTGTGCTGTTTTCATTGGTGGTTTCCCAAGGTCCTAAAGGCAGGGGTCAGGAGAGGTTGCCCTGAGAAAACAGCATGCTATTTAAAGTGACTGCCCTCTTGGTTACATGTGTGTGTGTGTGTGTGTGTGTGCGTGCATAGCCAGTCTCCTCCTCTTCATCCTTTGCTGTCTAGCTCTGTTTCAGACACACATACACACAGAATTTGCAAACTGACTTTCCTCTCGGCTTGTGCATGCATGTGCACAGCCAGTCTTCTCTTCTTCCTCTTACGCTCCTGCTCCATTTCATATAAATAATACATGTGCAGGCAGGCACACATAATTTTCCTCTCAATACACGAGGTGAAATATGAATAGAAAAACAAATGTAAAGAACTGCTTTCTGTTCCCGGCACAGAAACATAATTTTAAAAAGGTAAAGATACTGAAAAGTTGATCCACTGTTACAATAACCATCTTTCAGAATATAGCATGGAGATTAGTTTGGTTTTCAAGTGAGTGTCTGATCACTGATAGATCTGTTCTTGTTGCTAGGTAGTCTCTGTAAAAGAAAAGAATAATGTTCTGTAACATTTTGCTAAGGGTGCTGTCCTCAGATCTGTTCTCCTTTTTTCTGAGATTTTACCTCCATCTGAACTTCCAAACTGCTTTCTTAAACTGCCCTAAATTTAAAATGCAGTCTGGGGATTTGATGCTGGAATCCCCACCTGCCTCAACCCCTCCAGGAAGAAACCACACACACCAGCTCAGTTTTCCCTGTAAAGACTGTAGTGCTACATTCCCAAACTTGGGTTTGAACTCTGGGGAATTTATAAAACTGTTTTGAGGGATTCACCTTCCAAAATTTTGGTTGACAGCATGCATGCTGGCTTGTATCATTGTTTGCTTGTATCAGAGTGTCATCATCCTTTGTTTAGGGTGTAACTGCATTAGAAAACACACAACAATATGTCTTGCTTCCCCCTCCCCCTTAAGATGAACCTTACATTTCTTGTAATTCTCAAGCAGTGACTACAGAGAATATGTTCTCCTGGATAATAAAGCCCAGTGGAGCACAAATTCCTCCAAGCAAATATAAATAATTAAAATGAGTGATCCCCATTTTACTCTGTTATCTACTGCATGTCTCTCTTTAGGCTATGGTAATTTGTTTAGCTCTGATTAAATTAAGCATATGATGGGTGTAACAAATTTTGTTGAAAACAAACCTATGGTGCCTTTTAAGGATTTTTTTTTAAATGAAGCTATTTGCAATATTGTTATATATATTAATGTTGTTGCTCCCCCATTTGCTTTTTAAAACAAAAATTCTTTATAATGGGTGTATTATTTATTATTATTATTATTTATTGAAAAACATCCCTACATATTTAGCTGGAAGACCTAGTTGTTGGGAATATTTCTTGAAATATTTTCTTAATTGGCTAGTATATCATATGGGTAATATTTTACATTGATAGAAGCGCTCAGTGTGCTTCATTTACATGGTCTGTATAATACATACAGTAATCATATAGTGGGTCAGCATTACCCCATTTGCAAGGATTATATTTGGGTTGACTGAGAGCTCTTTATTCACCTATTGTTGCCTAGTGATATTAGCCATATGCCAGGTTTACAGTTGTTAGGACCCATCCTACTCTGCTGATTGCAAATTGCTATAACTGATTTTAACATTATATTTTTATATTACTGTAATCTGTCCTCGGCCCTTATGGTGAAAGTGGGTATACTTGTATATTGGGGTTGCTGTACCTCCAGGAAGGGACACGAGTGGCACTGTGGGTTAAACCACAAAGCCTAGGGCTTGCCAATCAGAAGGTTGGCGGTTTGAATCCCCGCGACGGGGTGAGCTCCCATTGCTCGGTCCCAGCTCCTGCCAACCTAGCAGTTCGAAAGCACATCAAAGTGCAAGTAGATAAATAGGTACCACTCTGGTGGGGAGGTAAAAGGTGTTTATGTGTGCTGCTCTGGTTCACCAGAAGCGGCTTAGTCATGCTGGCCACGTGACCCGGAAGCTGTACACAGGCTCCCTCAGCCAATAAAGCGAGATGAGCGCCGCAACCCCAGAGTCAGTCACGACTGGACCTAATGGCCAGGGGTCCCTTTACCTTTACCTCCAGGAAAACCTGGACATGTTCTCTTTTGGGGGGGCCAACATGCCCATCTGGGAGGATTTTTACATTTTAAAGGCAATGTCTGGGTTTGGGGTTTTTTTGGGGGGGTTGGTTCATTTTTTGGGGGGAACACATGCATACTTAGGAGGGTGCTGTGCCTGGGAAGCAGAAGTGCCGCGGCGGAGTGAGGTCATTGCATGGAAGATCAGGTTGGAGCTGGGGTCCTGCCTTCGCTCGGGCTGACAATGGCTCAGGCTTTGGATATTCTGCACGCGGCAGTGGCCTCTCACATGCCCTCGCCTGTATGCCTCTTTTCCTGGCTTGGGCTACCAGTGGCTCAGGCTGTCCTCTTTTTTGCTTTTCTAGATATGGCAACCCTATGATACTTTCCTAGGTGTAAGCCCTGCTGAATGCACTTGAACTTACTGCTTAATAAACATGCATTGGATTGCACTGGATTTTGTTTTGTTTTGTTTTATTTTATTTACAAGATTGATCCAATACCTTTCCAGAAGACCAAGAATTATATAAAACACAATCACATTAAATCAAGATCAATGTCAAATTAACTGAAATTTAGATGCAGTATTAGTTAATACTATTATGTTAAACATTTGATAGGTGCAACAAACACTTCTGTCTAATTTTTTAAAGGTTCTTAAGTTTGTGTCATGAAAATGGAAACATTTATTAGTAAGTTTGAGCACATTCTAGTAAAG